ATAATAAAATGACGACACGTAGAGAGAGGAAGTAGCTTAGTCAGCTGGCGGTCGTATGACGCAAAGTGTGCCGACATTAAATTCTGCCCATACTATTACATTAGTCTTTGACAAAAAAATGTTGTATGTCCATACATGACCATTTATGGTCATGGTGTAATGTCCTTATGACCATATTTAGGCATGTCACTTGTTTGATATTCTGGACATGGCTTTAGTGCAAAATCGTTCCAATCCTGTAATTGACATTCACTGTTTGATATTGAAAGTGTGCGTACAATGACTAACACCGATTTTCCCCCTCCAAATCTACCCTGCTGGTTGTTTCTATAATAGCCTAATTGACAGGTTTTCAAATATAGAACTACTGCAATAATTATGTGGGGGATTTTTTTTTCTCTCTCACAGTTAATATAAAAAATGATGACTAACTATTACAATACTGAGCACCTGAGGTTCAGGTTCAAGGGGGAAAACTAGAGCGAGAGAGGTTTTAAGGTGAACTGGCACATTACAGTCGAACCCCTATTAGTTGCGTATCTAGACGTCTTGAAATAGGGGCACTAACTCGAAAAACATGGTGATTTTAGGTGATTTCTAACTACTTGATAATGATTTTTTGGGGAAACGAGGGGGGAGTAATTGTTGGAGGGGCTTGCTCCCCCGCCCTCCCCTACATACACCACTGACCCCTATTAGGTATACACCTTCGGTGCTGAATATGATGATATGGGTGTCTCTTGAATAGGGGCATTAGATAAATTTATTGGATCCGGTACTCCTATTTGGGGGACACAAAATAAACAGAATGTCCCGGCCCATAATATGGATTTTTTTTTTTTTTTTTTTTTTTTTTTGGCATGATGTAATTTGCTTTATAGATGATGACATTGTGCTCTTTTCATAATTTTAATTTAATTAGTATATAATGGGTTTTTACAAAGAGTTAAATAGGCCTAACAATATCAAATTGTATTTAAATCAACAACATTCACAAATTGGTTAGGCCTAATAATATTTTTACACAAATCAAATAAAATTAAATATACTTGCTTTTCAATTTAATTTAACAAGTTAATTTTTGAAAAAAATTGACTAGTCCAATAAACTGTTGACCAATGAAATGCCGATCACTTAAGTAGGCGGAAACACCTAGTGATATCCGACAACGAATTGTAACGTAAAGTTTTATTCTCACAAAATACGTGTGACGACTTATCACATATGAGTAACGTTTCCTATTCGGCTATAAAATGATTTGCTAAGCTAAGGAATACCCATACATGTTGGATTGGCAGTGATTGGCAGACTAGCATACGCGCAACGTTGAGGTTTTCGTTACCCTTATTGGGTGTAGAGGTCATTATAAATATCTTCAATCAAAAAACTGGAACTATATACTACAAAGTTGCGTGGATTCTCTAACGACCAGGTAGGAACATATTTTTAAGCACTATTTATAAGGGTGACCCTTCCATCTAATCGGCTGATATTAAGGTACCTCTTGAAAAAATGAAATACAGTAATAATATAATGTTTTAAAAAGTCTCAATATAAATGCTAGGGAGTGGAGTGTGGGTCGCAGAATTGATGAAAGACCGGGATCGGAAGAAAGTATCTTACTTCTCGATGTCCCAACCGATGGACACTTTCGAGCATTTAATGTAAACGTAACTGTAAACATAAACCCTAAACTACACCTGATATTGCAGCAAATCAATAGCTATATAATGTAAACAATCGAATTTTGTTCATTTGAGGATGGATCCTGTCAGCGAACTCAAAATCTTTAATACTTCTTTTCGGTTTATTTATAAAGGATAATAAATTTGTTTACAAGGTATGTCCTTAGGCATGTTTACATGTTTAAATATTTACATGTGTACATGTTTAGACATGTTCACATGTTTAGGCATGGTCACATGTTTACATGTTTAGACATGTTTACAAGACATTTCCTTATACATGTTTACATGGCATGTTCTTTAACAGTTTACATGCTCACATGTTTAGACATGTTTACATGACATACCAATAGACATGTTTACATGTTTAGATATGTGTACAAGTTGTTTTCTTGTATTTCATTCTAATCCTTTATTGAATGACTCGTCACTTACAGGATGGAAGTGATATTCTATAGACCCTGGAGCTATAAGAAAATAAGTTTAATTATTATGCTTGGGGTGGAGTTTCTTTTGTCGCTAGAAACCAGGACACTAAGATTGAAAGGCTGGGGTGAAATACTAAGCTATATATCTACCCTCTAGACGAAAACAGTAATAATAATAACAATAATACTAATACTAATAATAATAATGATAATAATATTACTGTATCACGATTGTTACTATTATTAGAATATAATTATTATTTTAATTATCATAATCATCAATACATTTTAATATATTTTAATATACATTATTTAATAACAATGTTCACTTTTTCACTTAAACCATGTGTACCCTCTCGCTCTCTAGCCAATAGGAAGTGTTACTAGTCAGGCGTCAATGCATTCGAAATTAAAACCATATTCATCAATACTTTACTCATGGATAGATTAAGCATTGGTGAAAGGAGTTTTGGGTTAATATTGGTCTCCCCGAAAGAAAATATGTATCCAATATGAACCAGCGAACCTCCGATAAGGAGTATCGCTTCCCTACGATATGTCTGTACAATATTATGTTCCATTGCATCATTGGATCGTCAAAACGCGAAGCGGGCAGGGTTTTGGCACGTACCCCAGGGGATCATCCCGGAAGCAGACTGCAGGTTAGTAGGTCCCGTTAAATCCTTAGCCTCAGTGTCTTTGTTACGTCACTGACTTTCGAATGGTCCACTGATTAATCTGAGATAAGATATCATAATACATACTCCAAGTAGGCCTATTGAAATGCAGACCATCGTGTTGGTATTCAATATTTCGACATTAATTATGTCATCATCAGGAATGAAGCGTTCCCATGATGCATGGGGCTTTCATTAACAATAATTATGAATGCCAAACTAACAATTAACCAATTAAGCTCAATGGAAAGGAACTGGCCACCCTACCACACAATGCCGAGGCTTGTGCAATGGGCTAACAGCTCATTCCCCAACATTCAAGTAATGAATACGGGACTACATTTTTAGTTAATGTGCACTTTGAGTATATCGTACGTATCGCCGCCACTAAAAATTGAATTCTGCCGTGGATATAGGGGCTATAAAATCCTTGTGAATTGATTTATTAATTATGAATACCTATTATATAATAGTAGCCTATTGTAAATTCCATAAATGGCCTATATTTTGTAATATTCGAGAATTTTTAATATCATTTTTAAGTTTGTTTAGAAATGTTACGCAAGCCATAAGGCTTGATATTGTTCCATTAGCGTTACATGTTGATTTGGCGCTGCGCATGCACTGTGGCTTCCACGGTAATAGACCTTTCTGGTAAATCCCGCCCCTTGGATATTGTTGAAAGGTCCACAAAAAGATATCGGTCAGGTTCACAAGAGAGCCCTAGTATCCGGATCGAGAGCTAACCGTTAGCACCCGTGTGAGAACCCCCAATTGGTTAGCGCTAACCGTTACCAGGACCCGGATACGCTAATGATGAGCGCGTTTCTAACAATCACACGTAGGCCTACGCATTTCCAGTTTCCTATTGGTCGGTGATCCGATCATCATCTTCTTGGTATCTTGATTGTGGATTACTTGTATGAACGCACGGGTAAGCGGGTATGTTTGTAATCTCTATCCTGCTAACCGTTAGAAGCAGCCATGTATGAACATAGCCTTCGTAAAATACGTAAACACGTGGGACACACGTGTGTGTTTTTTTGTAGGACAAACGCGTAACCTTAGGGATGTTCTGATTGGACAGTTGTTATGTTGGTTTGACACTCCGGAAGGGTTCATTATACGAAGCTTAAGGATTTATTTTGTTTTAGAAAAAAAAATCCGATGTCAAGGAATTCGATTCTGTTAACTTCCAACCTTCTAATTTAAAAACAAGCATCTTATTGTGAGATTCATAATGAATGAATTATTTATTTTTTTGCTATCAGTCATGCATTATGCTGCCAGGCCTTTCGAAATGTGTACCAACCACCGAAGCGAAGGAAAGCCTCATGAGTGAGCGCCAACTCACGACCAAACGTAATTTGACGATAATTTCTTGTGATAGGTATAGATATGATCTTATGATTCACTCATCCACTTATGATCTAACTTAATTTTACTAATATGCATATGCCTAAAAAAGTTTTCATTAGGTCACGGTTAATAAATTCATTACCATTGTATTATTATTAATTATGTAGTATGCCTAATTAATAATTAGTTTATAAATGTAATCGTTTGTAGGCTAAACATAATAACTATTAAATTTGAAAAAAAATATAGGCATTACTAGTAATTACCGTAAAAAACTTTTTCACAAATTTTTTAACCATTATAAGAATAGGACTACTCTGTTTTCTTTACAATACAAACTGCGGTACTACTCTCGGTCGCTATGCAAACCAATTACACCGGTGGCGTATCTGGTAAAAGTAGCCCACATGACGTTTTATCGTTCCTATCATATTTCCTGTAGCAAAACATCATATAAATAAAATTTATATGGTACCTTTCGGTTGGAGTAAACTTGTGAACGCAAGAGCGTTATACGAAAGCCTGTCTCGACATTGACATTTTTTCATTAAGTGCCAAGTGTTATTAAGTATAATATTATACGTGAGAACATCTTGCAATACAGCATTTTTAGGATAGTTTGCTGGAACAGCGCCCGTTTGCTATCCAATTCTGCACAGCCTCGACCTCACAGAGTATTGGTTCAACCTCGAATTTAAAATGTACTTTTGATGTTTCTATTAGAGATCAAGTTATCTATATTGTTTATTTTTGACATATATTAACAGGGTGGTTTGAGATCATCAAGAACGATATCACTGTTAATCATATTTTTCTGAATATAGGTGGCGCCTAAAGACCCCGCCTCCGCTAAATTCACAGAATAAACATGTATAAAATATTGGTCCTGTGTTTTAAAATCAAGTCTGCACAAGGTTTTGGTTTGTTGCCAATTAGATACAGGTTTGTCAAAATTAATCATTAATTATGGTATGTGTTGTACTAAAAAAAACCCTGAATAGTATCTGAATCTTTTACTGTTTATATTTAAGCTTTAAATTATAACGATTTTCATCGCAAAACTTATTAGACTAGTGGCCATCAAAATGAAAGTGGTCAAAAACATTTTTTCGTATGCAGCATTTGTTACAAGATGGCAATAAGGTGAATCCTCATCACCAGCTCTAGGCTCACGCGGAATGGGCTGTCGCTACGCTGAATTTTAAATTTAAGTGCCAAAATTGACCAAAAAATGAAAAAATGTCTACGTTTTTACCGTACCCCAATATCGTATATTTAAGCTGTACGTAACTGGAAAATTCAATTTGAATATATGTGGTACCATACGAAGGCTAGTAAAACTATCTATTGAAAGATGTGTATAATGAGACATTATGTTAATTGTGTTACCCACAATTTACCAAATAACGTAATATTATTTTTTATTACTTTTTTGGCAAAATTTAATACCGGTAATACATGTTTTATTAAATAAATAAATACGAACAATACTAAATTAACACCTTTTTGTCTGATACTTTTTTCAAAAACTGACCACATACAAAATAAAACACCTATACAAATTTCGGACATTATTCATTTTGTATTTCGGAGTTATAAATGTATCAAAGGTAATTTCCCGCAAAAATGGCAAATTTTAAACTTTATTACCCCAAAATGGTATTTTGAAGCCTAAGTATGTTAATAAAAGATTCAATTTGAATATATTGGTATCATACAAAAGCTAATAAAAGTATCTATCAACTGATGCGTATGATGACACATTATGTTAATGTTGTGACCCAAAAATTACTATAAAACATATTTGTTATATTTTTTGGCTAAATTAAATAGGCCTAATATATGTTATATTTACGTTTAAAAAAAGAAAAAAACAATGGTGATTCTCTTCACTAAGCCTTGGTTCACACGGAATGGGCTTTTCAAGCTGAATTTTGAATTTTAGTGCCAAATTTGACCAAAATATGGCAAATTTTACACGTAATCCAATTAATATAATGTTTCATCCATACACATCATTCGCAATTTCCCGCAAAAATGGCAAATTTTAAACTTTATTACCCCAAAAAAATTTTACACGTAATCCAATTAATATAATGTTTCATCCATACACATCATTCGATAGATAATTGTAGTTGCTTTCGTACGATACCAAATATATTCAAGTTGAATCTTCCAGTGACGGACTAGCTTCAAAATACGATTTTGGGGTAAGAACATGTAAATTTTGCCATTATTTGGTACCTAAATTCAAAATTCAGCGTGGCAACAGCCCATTCCGGG